ATCCATTCAAATCCATGTGTAGGAAGGGGTTTACTCATTGCCTATCCATATAAATTATTAGCATCTAAATATTGTATAAAAGTAGATTCTTTACTTTCATCAGTTAGCAGTTCCTAGCCTGTTAGAAATCATGCTAATTCCGCCTCTTATTCCTTGCTTTATCATTAAGATCATATCATAATCACTTAATAATTCTAATTCTATTTTTGTTTCTTTTAATGCTACATCCCAAGCTAATCCTGGTGATCTATAGTACCAAGCAGGATCTAATTTATGATTTTTCATGCATACATCTCTAAAATTCTCAAAGACATCAGCTAATAACAATACATCTGAAACATTGTATAAATTATGATAATCTCTAAAGGTTTAACAATTAAACTCCTTCCATACAGTTTGTGCATGTGAGTAATCTTCATCACTAATATTTTCATCATTTAATCTTGAATAAAATGATTCTTTTGATGGTAATTGCGTTTCATTTAGTTTACTAATAGAATCAACCCATTCATAGGGATAAACACCTTTTCTTAATAATAAATGTAGTTAACTACCTGAATATAATTTTTCAATATTTTTACATTGATCTTTTGTTAGATTTTTAGATAAGCTATCTAAACTAGAAGCCATAAATCTATAACTATCAACAAAACGTAATTGTAGTTTAACTTCAATAACTTTATTTTCTTTATTAGTAAATTCACTAACTTTAATTTCTTTAGAAAAGCTGATATACTTTTCTTCATTGTTAGGAATGCAATTTAATTTTCCTTCTGACAATTTTTTTATGAATAAGTGAGAATCATAACCAGTTAAATTATGAAATGAACTGGAATGAATTTTGGATTTTCAAATTGTAAATTACAATCTCTATGAGCAGCTCCTCTATATTTACCAGTAATATGACAACGATCTCTTACTTTATCTTCTTTTATTAATTCTTCACAAATGTGACATACTTTTGCATTATTAAAACTATTTTTGTCTTCAGGTGTAAATATCATCTTTTTTGGAAATTTTAAATAAGTGTTGTAAATCTTCTTAATATCTGCTTCTAATCTATCAACAAAAATTTGCGCAACATCATCTTCTTCACTATTTGCAGTGAATGTGACCGGTTTACATTTATATACACTTTCAGCAAAACATTTGATATAGTAACAAAATGAACTTGATATAGTAACAAAATGAACTTGGTGTGTGCCTTTGATATTGTTTTGTATAGGATTCATTTGGATTGGGTGTACAAGTGTTGATAGGTGTAATAATACTTTCAAAGTCAGCATAGACTACAAAGGGTACTCTCATAGATTTTTTAAAATGATTAAATTTCATCATTGTGTTTGGTTTTGGAAGTTCAATACGCACTGAATTATGAGTGTCACAATAAGACTTGTGCAATATTATTTATTATGAGTGTCACAACAAGATTATATCTAAATAGAGATTCTTCAGTATTAAATCCTAATTTATGTTTAGATGTTTGTGAAGATAGTAATCTGCTTAAACTTTTTATTAAGCAATAATGATTAGTCTCATCATTTGAAATGAGTAATAAATCTATTTGATGTTGTCTGTTTCTATTTTCAGATATTCGTAAAAGATAAACTGAACTTTCGTATCCAAATACATTGACACTTATGTTTTGATTATTTTTCTCAAATTGAATAATTTGATTGAGTGACACTGGGAATAATTTGATTGAGTGACACTGGGAATAATTTGATTGAGTGACACTGGGAATAATTTGATTGAGTGACACTGGGAATAATTTGATTGAGTGACACTGGGAATAATTTGATTGAGTGACACTGGGAATAATTTGATTGAGTGACACTGGGAATAATTTGATTGAGTGACACTGGGAATAATTTGATTGAGTGACACTGGGAATAATTTGATTGAGTGACACTGGGAATAATTTGATTGAGTGACACTGGGAATAATTTGATTGAGTGACACTGGGAATAATTTGATTGAGTGACACTGGGAATAATTTGATTGAGTGACACTGGGAATTTTTTCCCAATTTAATTTCTCAGCTTGTTTTTCAGATCTTTATACTCTTTCAGAATTTTTTTCTTTAGTATTAAAAAATCTAGCAACACACCACTTAAAGCATTCGTTGTCTTCATTTTTAATATCAATAATTGCTTTTTTAGTTTCCAACTCTTAGTTAAGAGGAATGTAAGATCTAACCTTAATAAGGGTTATATTCAATGATATTAATGTCCGTCATTTTAACTGAAACAAATCTCCAACTTGATCCTAATTGTTAAAATGTTGACAAGGATTCTAAAATTTTCTGTTCAGCTCTTTCATAGAATCAGCTCTTTCATAGAAATAAATTTTCTGTTTAGCTCTTTCATTTAAATCTGTCGATTCTAAAACAACTTCTGATTTTGTTGAAAAAGTTGCAATAGTTGTTATAGTTTTTCCTGTTTTAAGATCAGTACGCTCTATTTCACATGAAAGAACGATATATATCTTTGATCCATTATTGCTATTCAGAATTTTAATGACATTATTTTTAGCTAATTTCATAAAGGACAAAGCATCATATCCTTCAACACCTTTAGCTGAAGATTGCTTTGTCCCATTTTTAATAGCTGATTGTGTCAATTTAAAATCTATTGGTTTTCTAGTTCCAAATCTTTTATATAAATTAGAAACAGTAGATTTTATTGATGTAAGTTTCTCATTTGCAGTCTTTTTAATGGATTCAGAAACATGAGACATAATCCAATAAGCAAATGAATTAACTTCATTATTAACAATATTAATATACCTACTTGGAACATACTGAGTAGGTGTTAAAGCATTTTGTGTAATGTGTACTGGAATAGGTTCGTCTAATATATTCTGAGATAATGATCTTATAAGATCTGCTTTTTTCATTCTATAAAAGTACTTGATTTTTCGCTCTCTTGCGATTTTTTTCAATTCTGTGACAGTTTCATTTTCCATTTTTTATATATACAAGAAAATTATATATATCATTTTCAAATTTTCATTTTTTTCTTGTAAAGAAATTAAAATAAAAAAACTAAAAAAATTTCATATTTTTTTAGATAAAAAAAGTCTATATAAATAATTTTTTAAAAGAAATTATTCTACATTTTCTTTTACATCATCATATTTAGATTTTATTAATTCTATTTTTATACCATTTTCAACTTTTCTGTAATGACACAAATATAAATATCTATATCCATGTTTTTCCTTTCTGATATAATCATATATAGAATTGTATATTTTAACTTCTCCTGTTTCTACCTTAGTTAGTTTAATAGATGCTGGATTTGTTCTAATTTTTGTCAGTCTGTCATATTTAGGATCTCTTTCTTTTTTTTCTTTTATAGGATAAATTCTTGGTCTTCGTACAGGTCTTTTTTCTTATTTTACTTTTTCTTTTTTTCTCTGTTTTTTTTTAGCAATGATATTTGATTGTATAGATTCTTTATCAATTAAATTATTATCCATAGTAATCATAACTAATGCAATGTGATCTTTTGATGTTTGTTGTATATTATTTTCTTTTAGTAATTTTAATAAATACTTTTTTGTATATTTTATTTTATCACTCATTTTTATTATATAAAGAAAATTAATTTAAATTACTTTCAAATAATTTAAATTGTTATGTTTTTCTTGTATATTTTTTAAAGTTATTATATTTTTAAATCTTTTCTTCTAATCTTTTTCTTTATAATATCTTCTATGAAATTCTTCTATTCCATCTTGTAATACTATTACATTCCATTTTTCATGAAACCAATCTCTCTCTCTTTCCATTCTTTCGTCATATGTTGTATTTCTTTCTCTTCTTAATATTCTTTTTTTTTCTTAATCTTTTTTTTTTCGTTTATTATACAATCATTTAATCTTTCTCTTGTTACTACTTGTCTTATATTTCTTGTCTTATAAGACTTTCTTCCATTTTTTCTTCAAGTTTTCTTCTTTTCAATCACTACTTCGCGTTCATCTTCACTATCATCACTTTCATAAAATAATTCGTTTTCCATTTTGTTTTCCATTCTTTTTATTATGTCAAGAAATTTATGTCATTTTCAAAAAAAAAATTTTATTGTTTATTTTTCTATTATTTCCTTTTTTACTTACTGCCTAATCTTTCTGATATGACATCAGCAAATGCTTCAGTTCCTACACGAACATTTGTACTAAAGTGTGCTATAATGTGAATATCTGATACTAAAGGTTTTAATCTTTCTGATTGTTTTCTTAAATCAAAAACCATAAGTGGATATAAATCTTTATAGTCTAAAGGTATTATGTTACAATTTGAAATGATTTCATTTGTTCCATAAAAGTTTTCTTTAAAAGTAGATGCATCTCTATAAGCTCTTGAAAATTGTTGATTTGGAAATGATAGTTCATTTCCAGCTTCAGGAAATCTTACATTATTAATCATGACTTGCATATTTGTCAAGTTACAATGATCGAATATTGAAGCATTTTGTGTTTGATCATTTTTTTCTATTAGTTTGGAATCCTACGATAATATATCTAGGTTTTTCATCACTTTTAACACTAAGTTTCCAAGTCATTTTAGATGTTTGTTGAGGAGTTGTAGTTTCACATGATCTAGAATAAAAAGCCACTGGAATTGTTACTTTTTCTCAAATAACACTATTAAGATTAAGTCTCTAAATAAACTCCTAAATAGGAGTTGAGGAGTTGTAGTTTCACACGATCTAGAATAAAAAGCCACTGGAATTGTTACTTTTTCTCAAATAACACTATTAAGATTAAGTCTCTAAATAAACTCCTAAATAAACTTAAAAATTAATTTAATTAGAAATAAACTTTAAAAGTTTATGTAGAAAATTTTCTAAATAAACTTATTTTAAAGTTTATTTCTAATTAAACTAATTTTAAAGTTTATTTAGGAGTTATTTTTACTAGTAAAAACTTCTGACTATTTACCTGTTATTGGTTTATACAGGTCTACTGTTTAAAAACAACAACTTTTTTTCCAAATATAAGTGTATTTCATATAACACCATTCAAAAAGCAATTAAATATAGATTATCTAACATGGAACCTTTATTAATAACAAATCCACACAAATAAAATATGCAGCATTTAATAAATTTTATTAGACATATTGTTGTAAAACTGTAAAACATACAAAACTGTAAAACATTTTAATAAATAACTTGTAGTTTTTTTATATCTTAAACACCATGGATATCGTTTTAAAATAAGAACTGCATTTGCTTTAGTGGTTAGGGCATGTCAAGCAACTCGTCTTGGTTCAGATATGTTGGACGATACTATCGGAGCCAGTGGCGGAACTTCAAAATTTGGGCCTCCCCGCAAAAGAATGTTTTTTTTGCGGAAAAGAGTTTTATAGTATAAATATTATTGAGAGTATAACTTTTTTTATATGAGGGCCCCCTATAGCTGGTAGACCCCCCGCAACGCAGGGTCCTGCGTCCAGTAGTTCCGCCACTGATCGGAGCATACGTTCCACTTCACAATTCTCTAAACCAACAAGTTTTCTGTGATGTGGTCTAATAATAGTAGTAATAATCATTAAAAATATTATTCACTGAATAATTAAACAAATTAATAATAAAACATACCTAACTTTCCACTTTCCATGGTTCCATTTTCAAATCCTAACATATAACACAATTTATTTTACAGAAAACTTATACATTTTTTTTATTTTAATAAAAAAAGCTAATAAAATCCTAAACACTTACGTAGCCTGATTCCGTTAATTTAACTTCGATATTAAAGACGAGGGAAAACTGCTAAAATTGACATTGCCATGTCTATTTTTTCGTTATTTGCAGGCAAATCCTTTCTGAATAAACAAATATTTATTATAAAACTAATAAAAAAATTCTATTAAAAAAAGCAACATATATAAAGAAAATGTAAAAATAAAAAACAGAATGATAAAGATCTTACACTTTTACGACTTGCATAATATATCAACAAAGATATCTAAAAAAAAATTGAAAAAGTTATTTTGATTGTATTGAATATATTTCATAACAATAATGTCACGAGTGTTAGGCTGTAAACATTCGCATCACTCTGATCAATTTTACAAAGTATAGCATTATATCAAATCAAAGGATATCATTCAAATTAATAAACAGAAATCATAGATCCTTTATTATTGTTTCTCTCAAAAATATAATTTGAATAAAAAAATAGTACCTTACTAGGGGGTAGCATTAGGACTTTTCTTTAAATCGGTGCAATAGTTCAGCTTGAGGCTGTAATAAACGATTTGGAGGTACAACTACACATGACCGTAAAAAATGGCCCATTTAAAAAACTAACTTAACATAAAAATAACGAATAAAAATACCAGATAGTTTGGTAGCCAATTCTTGCTATAATTTGCTATATAAAACATATATACTATGTAATGTATTTTCATCGTGAAACAGGGTTGACTTGTTCCTGTACAAGAAGGTAAATGCAAAGGCGCTAAATTTAATAACCAGATAATACTTTTTGGGTGTTTTAGCAGTTATCTTCACGTGAAAGAAACTACTAGTACAAGAAGACGTTCTACTAGTTTTGTTTACGCAAACTTAACTTTTAACAATCTTTTTGGCAATTTACTTATAAAAATTTCCTGTGAAAATGATGTGTAAACCACCCCTATACTTTTTTGCTGACATTAAAACATGTATTGAAAAAATCTGGTAAAAATAAACACTGGTATAATAGCAACATATTTTAACATATGTACAAAATATAACATAACAGATGTAATCAATATAACATAACTCCAGCACATATTTACCTAAAATTGTTTGTGCACTTTTAAAACATATAAAATCTACCTATAAAACACAATAACATTAAGAATCTTAATATTAAGACAACAAATTACTTTATTAAAATTTTCATGGTTTTTTTATTGACTCTTAAAATAAGATGAATGTTAGGCTCAGCAAGTAAATTTATTCAAACCTAAAAGCAAACTGTAATTCAATTTAAACTAAACAATAATAACAAAATAAGACAGCTTTCTAAATACGAGAATAAAGTTTTATCAATCTAAATGCACTCTATATCTTTTCTTTGAAATTTTTAAGTACTCTGAAATGTCCATGCCGTTGTTAAAAAATGTCCATCAATTTCTGAAAAAATTGTTGGAAATTTTTTAACAACGGCAGTCACAATACATGATAAGAGTAAGGGCAACTCACGTGACATAGATATATGGTCGACATAATTCTTTTTTGGAACATTATTGCCATATAGAACGTTTACTTTTTCTTGTAATGGCAATGACATTACAGAATTAATAATAGTTCGAACATGTTCTTTTGCAGACTTACAAGAAAGTGACATTGTTTCTAGAGATTTACGAACTTTCCTTGCGAAGTCAGTATTTTGTAAACGTCCTTCAATTACCGTTTCTGCTTTATTTATTAAATCAGCATCTTCTGCATTTATAGTAGATATGTACTTCTGCATCAACATATTTTTTTATTTCATTTCTTGTATCGGTGATTAAATACAGCATACGATATTGAAAGTTTATTATCTCAACAGGAAAATCCTCCTGTCTTAATAGCTTTGGATGCTCTAAAGGTCGATTTTCAATGCTGCTTTTTTTGTGCTGATTTCTAAAGGACTCTCTGATCTGATTATCAAATATTGAACAAATGCTTCGATCACTTATTTTAGTGACTTTTTCAACAAAATCTAAAAATACAAAAGCTTACATTCCAATATTTAACCTTTTACTTTTAACATTCATATCCTATAGTATTTGAAAGCAAACTTAGTTTGAAAAAATCTTACGCAATACAGAAACGCATTTATAGTATAATTACAATATATAAGATATACAATATATAATATATAATAGTATAATTACAGTACATTTAAGATAAGTTTACAAAAAGTTTAGACATTGTCAGCCAACAGGGGAAAACTTCTTGTGTAGTCCAAAACATATAAAACTATACTTATATAAATATACCCAGAAAAAAAAAAATTAAATTTAAATTCATTTAAAACATGTGTTCTTAGGTAATTATTAAAAATCCATTTAAAAAAAGGCAGGTAATAAAGGTTGAGGTAATTAACAATGTTACATACTAACCACAATTCTGCTCATCATCTTTAACAATGTCCCATTCATTGTCATCGCCATTTTCTGTCAAAATAAAATAATCAAAATAATTATGTTTATCATTTCAACTATATCACTAAAACAAGTCTTAATTTGAAAAATAAAATATATAGCATAGCTTTACCTTGATTTGTTGATTCATCGTCAGATGAAACAGATGAATTGTCTGTTTCATTGTTAAGTGATTCAGGTTTATTATATAGACTGGAAGATTGAATTTCATTTTTCTTGTTTTTCGATGTGTTTGAAGGAGAAGTTGATTCAACTTCAATGTCCACATGATGAGTGGAACTGTAGTAGATTATTCCCACCGCCTGAATTATTCCATCCCCCTATGAAAAACTCAAAACGAGATTTGTAATAAAATATTACATCCGCCTAAAATATCACATCCCCTATAGAAAAAACGAAAACGAGATTGCGCTTTCAAGTCATTGCACTACTAGAATATCACATCCATCACTAGTAAGTTCTGTATGTACCACAAAAAGAAACTTAAATTCTTACTTAAAATATCATATCCCCTCTATGTTTACCTTTAAAATATTACATTCCCTTAAGTAATTCATACAATATTTCAAACGATTAGTATTTAGTATCTAAAATATTACATCCCCTCGGTTTATTTGTGTATATGTCACAAAAAGAAACTGAAATTTTTACTTAAAATATTACATTCCCTCTATGTTTACATTTAAAATATTACATCCCCCAAAGTAATTCATACAATATTTCAAACGATTAATATTTGCTATTTAAAACATCACATCCCCTCGGTTTATTCACTGTATATGTCAGAAAAAGAAACTGAAATTCTTACTTTAAAATATAACATCCCCCGGATGTCTACTTCTAAAATATTACATCCCCCTAAGTAATTTATAAAGTATTTTAAACAATTAGTATTTGGTATATAGAATATAACATCCACCACTTGTTATTTCTGTATATGTCACAAAAAGAAACTGGAATTCTTACTTAAAATATCACATCCCCCCTATGCAGGCTTCTAAAATATTGCAAACGATTGTTATTTTTATTACCTAAAGTATTATATCCATCATGTGTAATCTTTTTCTATACTATTGTCACACAATACATTACGATCAAAATTTTATAAATAAGAATTTAAAATACATTACCAATTTATGCTAACTTCATTTATAGTATATTAGTAGAAAAACGTTTTTATGAATCTCGTTGCGTTTTAATTATATTGTTTATAATTAAATGTTTCGGACGTATTTGATACACTTCTAAGTGCAATGACTTGAAAGCACAATCTCGTTTTCGTTTTTTCTATGAGGGATGTGATATTTTAGGCGGATGTAATATTATTATTATTTTTTTTTTTTTGTATGTATTTAGGTGCTCCCAGAAGTCCTTATGGTCTTATCATAGAGTACCGCGGGAGAGCATTTAACAGGAAGTTCACGCCTCCTTCCGTACCAATGTCACTTATTGGGCTGGAGCTGGCGTCGAACCTCGGACCTCTGGGTTCTGAGCCAGAACTCTAACCACTGCGCCACGGCTGCTCTTAGTATTATCAAAATACGGACAATTTATAAGGTATAAAAAGACGGGCAGACAGGTAAAAGACTCTGAAGAATATAGCCTTTTCATTTGTTAAAAAAAGGAGGTTGAATATTTTAAAAAAAGTTGATGAAAAGTATAGTCAAACTACATACGTATTCGTTGCCTTGAACACCCCTTATAAACAAACTTATACGCTTTTGGGTGACCCCCGTCCTCCGTACTTTATAAAAACCTTTTTTATGACCACTCCCTTTCATATACCTACCCACCCCCGCGAAGCGCGGGGGGGAGGGAGGGGTTAATGGAAAAACCTCTCATCGTCGCAGCACAGCACATATTTGCCAGCACCCCTCAAAAAAAAAGCTAGATCCGCCCCTGAAATCATCTGCATCAGATGAAGATGAGGTAGAATCACTATTAATATGCTCTTCTATGAACATTTGTGGATATATTTGTTCCATAATTTTAACAGCGAATGAAATTGCTGCATTTTTTGACGAATAATCGTTGGAACTTGGTATATTTCCACTCTGTAGGTAAATGATTAGTATCATTAAAACTGGATCTCTTCTTTCATCCATCCTTTTTTGGATAGCATATATAAGTTTTTTTGCTATATCTGTTTGCATTGGTTGCAACTTTTCAAACAAAAATTTGTATACTCCTTCAGCTGTTATGAGATTTGCATCATTTTTACTCAATTCAGTAACAGCAGTTTCAACTGGTGGGAGAACGTCAACAAGGTTTTGTAGCGCACTAATATCATTTTCAGCAATTTGATCAAAATTCAATTCGATTAAGGATTTGTTAATACATTCTGATAGAATTAAAAAACGTCGAATCATTACACTCAAAGAACTCCATCGAGTTTTCATATCTAATTTTAACTTAAGTTTTTTTCCCATTTTTTGAGCTATATTTTGTTGCAAAATAGAATGCTTTGTAGCCGATTTTTTAAAACATTCTTATAACACTTCTTAACCTGTTAATAATTTGGTCAAAATTAATATCCAATGTCAATACATTTTCATTTTCGTTAATAAACTCCAAATTGTATTCAGAGCACTGATCTTCTATGGAATCTTCTTCTTCCATTTCTTCATCAGCAAACTCTTCGGTATCGTCAAATACTTCATTGGGAATAACATTTTTTATATAAAAACAATCCATGACAGCTAAATGGAGCGCGTGATTATGGCAAAGTTGATTTAATACACCTAATATATTGCCATATTTTTTCATTACGGCTGCTGCGTCGTTAGTTGATGCAATAACATCATTTTTTAAGAGAATCCCAAAGTCTGCCAACTTAGCTTCAACTAAATGTTTAATTGTTTCAGCATTTCCCTGCTTAATTATTTCCATCAAACCCAAAACATGGCTTTCAATTGTATTTGAATTTATTTCAAGTACATGAGCTGTTACGTTTACGTAAAATAGTGCAATCTGTCCATTCATCCACTGTAATAGCAAATTTACGATTTGCTGTTTTGAAGTTTTTGAAATTTGTCCCGCAGTTCAATAAATTTTTTTTTATAAAAGCTGTTGATGCATTTTGAAATAGTTGTCGAACTTTTTGGCATTTTATAACCTTTTTGTTGCACGTAACCAGCTATAGCTTAAGATTTACTAATTGCCGTGATCGCCATTCCATCAACAGCTGCGACTTTTGATAATATTTCATTTAAAGATTCTTTTTTTACATATTGCCAAATAGTACTTGTTTCAGTTTTTCGTTTTTTCTTAGGAATATTATTTTCTCCATCAATTTCACTTGATACCGATTTAGATATCAATATGTTGTGTCGTAGCTTTAAATGGTTAATCATAGCAGTGGTTGAACTTTTTCCATCCAATGTTCGTGTTGCACGTACCACATGTGGCTTCACCAAATTTTTTTTCATCTTTCTTAAAAAACTTTCATACCTCGGATTTTTTTGTGATTTACATTTTTGAAATTATTCGAATATTTGGAAAAAATATTTGAATATCAAATAGTCAAAAAACATGCAAATATATTCGAATATCAAGAATTCGAATAGTCAAGTTGGATGGCCTATTTGAAACGTTTAAGATTTAAACTTCAAAACTTTAAAAGATTTTTTAACATGTGCAAATGTGCAGAAATGTGCAAATGTGCAGATCTTAAAATCTTAAGCACATTTTTTTTTTAATAATATGTAACTAAAAAAAATTTGAAATACGTAAAACTTACGCAGTGGCTACGGTAATACGAAATACGTAAAACTTACACAGTGGATACGTCCAATCTTCCGGACGGTAGGAATGTTTAGACGTATTCCTAACAAAATACGTCCAAACATTTGGGCTTGGTTGAAATATTTAGTCGTATTCCTAACAGAAAAAGATAAAGATACGTCCAAACTTTCGACCGGTAGAAAGGTTTAGATATATTACTAACAAAAAATATTAAAGATACGTCTAAATATTCGGGCGCGGTAGAAATATTTATACCTATTCCTAACAAACAAAAGGTAAAGGTATTCGAAACTTTTGGACGTATAGAAAAATTTAGGTGAATTACTATTGAAAACAAAATTGGAATAGGTTCAAGCTTTCTGACCTAAATTTTACCAATGAACCGTAGCGTAGTAGGCAACCATTGCGTTGAGGTCAACCGTTTGGACTCCGATCGCAAAGTCTTGGTTCCGCTTCACGGCTTGCCTCAAAAATTCTTTTAGTAAAGTTGGAAATGGAGAGCTAATCTATTAAATGCTATTTTACATGGGGCAGTAGTCTGTGTAAAGACCATTAGGATTTCTCAGAGCACCTTATTAATAATATTAATAATAAAAAAAAACTTAGGCCAATTTAACGAGAATTAAAAAAAACATTGGGCGATGTATGTATAAATACCGTATCCACATATATCCGTATACACATAAATGCCGTAAGCCATAAAACAGATTCATATGGAAAATACCGCCAAATTTTTTTCATTTATACACTAAAATTTGTCTCGCTAAAAAACTGTTTTAATAAATTTAATAACATAGCGAATTGGGAAGTAACGCATCTAAAGTTACGTCATTGCTTTATAATAAAAACAAAAATTTAACGCATGTAACTACAAATTTTGTTGCTAAACCTGCCAAGGTTAAAGACGTTTTAGCTAGAAGTACAGAAAGTAATTTTTTTGATTTTCATGTGCATAAAGGGTTGACAATTCAATAATTTGGAGGGCATAACAAAAATTGAACGTTTTTCATATAAAACAAGTAAAAACAAAAATAAAAATGCTAAAAAAACTACCTTAAACTATTTTTTTATCTATGCCCTCTAAAAATCTGATAAAATAGACATTCGTTTATAAGTATGTAAAATTTTAACCATCAAGCATGTAGCTTAAAATATCAAATCTTGATTGGCCCAAGACAGGTTTTTCGTAAAATACTCAAAAAACAGAAAAGTGATCCCAAGTCATTAGCAATATTTTAACAACTTTTATTTTTATTCCGTTTAATGAAAATATTTATTTAACAAGGAAAGATAGATGTTTCATTTTTTTTATTAGAACACAAAAGCGTTTATAGAAAAAAAAACTATTACTTTAAAGTTATTGAATTTTTATACTTTATATTCCAAAATTTTTAAAAAACTTTCTATGCGGGAATTGTTTTTGCTAAACTCGTGACGTAATGCCCAATTTTTAATTGCGTGAAACAGCCGTGAAACTGCTTATATTATCACTTTTGAACAACAAACATCTTAAAAGTTTACATGGTCGATAAAGAATTTTGGGCCAAAGGTATATACACTATGTTACTTACTATAATATATTATAATATATTATAGTATGCTAATAATTAATAATTGTATTAGTGACATTTGTTAAAAGTATATTAACTTTGTATATAGTACGTCCAAACTTTCGGACGCAAGGGAGCATTTTGTTAAACTTTAATCTTAAAAATAGCTTAGAAATCAAAGATTAGCGTTAGGGTAAACTGACCAAATTCGAGCCAGTGACCAAATTCCAGCCACATTTTAAATTTATTATTTCTGTCTTGTTTTCTGCTTTATTTTTGTAAATGCTACTTTTTTGAGACTGGTATGAATTCAGCCAATAAAAAAAAGCATTGTTATAGTTGGCGGCTGTTTATAATAGAAGTAACATCATAAAAAATATTTATCTCAAAAAAGTACTACTTTATATTTAAAATATCATGTAAGCATCCAGTTTGAAGCTTATAAATATTAAATATTTATTACTTAACGAAATGTTAATTATTTTAAACTATAAATATATTTCTTAAAAAGACAATTTTAGCTTTATAATTATGTTGAGTCATTACTATAGATTGTATTTCTTAATTAATTGCACCTGGTAGAAAGACCAAAATCCGGCCAGGTATAAACCTTATTCCGGCCAAGGCCGAAATTAGGTTCACGAGTGTCTAAAAGTAACTCATACTTGTATGATATTTATATTATTAGATTTTAATCTTTTAATATAAGTACTTTATGTTACATTTATGTCCTAAAAGTTATCAATCTTAAATATTTGCATTTATTTAGTTAAATATTTATACAATATTTTTAAAATTTGAGGATGATGACTTAAAAATAAACAAAAGTCTAAATAATTGAAAGATATTATATTGTTTCATGTAAATTTATGAATCTGATAAAGGTGGCAAATTATTTTACTGCACTTAAAGAAGTCATTAAAGACTGTCAGCCTGAAGTAATATGGAACATGGTTGAGACAGGACTGCAGCTAGACTTTAAGGCGCACAAAATAGTTGCTGCAAAAGGTACAAAATATTTACATATGAGAACAAGTGGAAATCGAGAAATGATTACTTTAATTGTTTGTGTGAATGCAGCAGGAAGAGCCTTACCACCTCATGTGATTCCAAAAGGAAAGACAGTAAAATCCCTTCAAAGTTTTCAAGTTCTAGATGCCCCTGAAGGAACTAACTGGAGTTCAAGTGAATCTGGATGGACTAAACAAGGGATTGCAAAACTACGGTTTGAGCTTACATTTTTAAAAAACATTGGACCACAAAGTCCACAAGTTTTAATTTTAGATGGCCACGATTCCCATAATTTTGTAGAGTTAATAGATATGGCCATACAAAACCGAATTGAAATTGTTGAATTACCTGCTCATACAAGCAATTGGCTTCAACCTTGTGATCGAACTGTATTTAAGCCATTCAAAGTTTCATATAATAAAGCAGCCCAGGATATGATATCTAATCACCCTGGGGTTATAATAAACAAGGCCAATTTTACAGGACTTTTAACCAAAGCCTGGAATAAAAGTATGACAAAAGCTAATATTGAATCTGGCTTTAAATCATGTGGAATCTTTCCGAATATTCCTTCAATTATTCCAGCTGAAGCTTACTTGCCAAACTATGTGTATTCTGAAGACAGGTTAATGACTAATCTCTTTGATCAAATTAAAACAGTTGATAATACAACAATAGTTAAGCAGATTAAGCAAACAACAGACAGCACAAAAGTACTTTTACCAGATAATGAGTTGGAACAACATCTAATTACCAACCCAAGATTTGCTGTAGCAAATGATCACGACTATTTAGCTGAACCAATAACCGTAGTAGAACATAGGAGTGATGATTTAGTGGAACTAAATATGAAAACTATAGAACTAAAAGCTGCAAGTAATAAAGCTACTAGTAAGTTTCAGGACAGCTTTAGGATTATGTCTTACTCTGAAATTGAACAGCCTATTGATCAGCATGAAGTTGATTTTACAGTTTCAACTCTTTTAGCTTCTAATTTTGCAAAAACTAGATCTTTTGCCCCAAATTTCCCCTTTAAAAATTCATCTTATCCAGGAGATGGAGATAATGACATTTTGCCATATTCTTATCCAAGTTTTACAAAGAGCAAAAAAGCTAAGAATGCAGACAAGTTTTTTGTGCTTACTTCTAAGGAAGCATATGAGTTACAGTTAAAGCAGAAGCAAAAACAAGCTCAAAATGAAAAGGAAAAAGAAATGCGTAAATTGAAAAGACTACAAAACTTAAAAATAAAGAAGTAACATCATAAAAAATATTTATCTCAAAAAAGTACTACTTTATATTTAAAATATCATGTAAGCATCCAGTTTGAAGCTTATAAATATTAAATATTTATTACTTAACGAAATGTTAATTATTTTAAACTATAAATATATTTCTTAAAAAGACAATTTTAGACAATTTTAAAGTACTTTTAGACAATTTTAGACAATTAAAAAAAAAAAAAAACCGTTGCTATAAAAATGAACCAAAAAAAGTATAAAAATGCAATGTGTAATTTGATCATGTTGTTATGAATTTTTGTTCTTAGTGTTTAAAAAAGTCTTTTATAGAGTTCACTGAATTCTTTTTTTTTTATGTGAATATTATATTCTATGCAAATCTTTTAAAATAGTTTCAAAATCATTTTTGAATAGTTTTAAAATCATGTCCTGAAAACTTATTTTTTTTAGATTTAGGCATCCTTACTAAGTTTATTTGTTGATGAATGCTTAGTATTAAGTTAAGCAATCATTTTCTAACTGATGTTTAAGATCACATCAAAAAAATTATTGGTTCAATATTTAGTAATTCAATTAATTTTAAAATATTTTAAATGCCAACCCATAAAAGTATTATAAAAAGCTTGTTATTTATATTGGCTGTAATTAGGTTCATTCCGCATACGCCTGGCTAAAATTTGGTCATAGTGGCTGTATTTTGGTCAAATTTATATACTTTTTGTAATCGTTGTTTTATCAAACATTTTTTATTTATAATAATTGCTGTAATTATATCCTAAATGCTGAAAGATTTATCTTTCTAGAAATGTATAATTTTCATATAGACCTCTTTGTTAATATGTCTGTAGAAACAATTTTGTAAAGATTCGGCTGGAATTTGGTCACTTTACCCTAACAATAAATTATATTTTCCGTGAAAATTCACGGATATTAAGAAGCAATTTTGGCTATTTTCCGTAAAAATGACGTATTTCTGAGTCAAGTTTAAAAAATTAATAGAATATAGGTGGCAGGTTTTGTAGTGTATAAATATTTATAATATAATGACAATCGATTTAATTTTAATATTGATTGACATAAATTGTCAATCAAAATTAAAATCAATTGAAATCTATTGTTTTTGATTGTTTTTTTTGATGTTGAAACAAAGCAAGTATTTGTGCAAATATTTGCTTTGTTTTTAAAAGCTTTTCAAAATATTTGTGCAAATATTTGCTTTGTTTTTAAGTAATTTTCGCTGAATAAAAACTTTGTTTGCTTAAAGATTAAGCCAACAAAGTTGTTTTTATTATTAAAAGTTCTTTGTGTTTAATAGATAGCATAAAAATCTCATCCAATCTATTAAACACAAAGTATAACTTCGTTTGCTTAAGCTTTACATATATATATATATATATATATATATATATATATATATATATATATATATATATATATATATATATATATATATATATATATATATATATATATATATATATATATATATATATATATATATATATATATATATATATATATATTTAGTATCTTTATTCATCTATTATTATTTCTTGTACACTAAAGGAATTCTCTCCTGTTCTCATGTTTTCCTAAATCATATGATTTGCAATTTTTTAATTTTGTCAACTTTTTTTGTAACTTTTCTGGACAATTGCTCTTTTACTTTATCTTTTCTTGCTTAGAATTTACTTTTTTAGTTTGTTTTTATCACTACCAACAATGCAAGCAACACTATTTAATTTAGGAATTTTTGACCTTTTTTTTTATATTAAGAAACAAAATCTTTTGCAATGTCTTTGACACTATTTAATTCCTAAATTAAATAGTGTAAAGATATTGTAAAAGGTTTTATATATATATTGCAAAAGGTTTCATTCAAGAACAACCTGAGAAAAAAAATTTTTTTCTCTTATTGTCATTGTTATTGTTAAAAAAATTGAAAGAAACGATTACAAATAAAAATTGCATTTCCTTTGGAAGGTGAAAACCATGGGATAAAGTGATACAAGGTTAGAAACTTCTACAAAACAGTTGCTTGATGCAGTTTATGCCTGCCCAAGATGAATACTTTTATAGATATACTATCTCTAACTTTTACTCAACAAGAGGCCCTTCAGGTATTTAATCTGTTTTCAATCTGAGTAACATTTCTTACGTTCACTTTTTACATTCTTCTGAGTAACATTTCATTTCAATAGTCATGGAACATCTATGTTTTATGTGCCTTGTATAGTCATGGAACATCTATCTATTATGTGCCTTGTATTAATACAAGTAATGGTATTTGTAATATCATACATTTATTTTATTATTAATTGTTTTTTATTATTATTTACTTATCTTAACTGTCAGGCTACAAAAAGGTTATTATATGGTAACCAGCAAACATGTAATGAAGCTTTGTTAAATATACAAGAGACCTTTCCAGAGTTTTATACATACTTAACAAATAACTGGTTGATGATGGCTGACATGTTCATGGGCTACCGCAGAAAAGGTCTACTCCACATTGATAATCACGCCAATAACAGATTGGAATGGTTTGATGATTTGTTTTCTATTTTGTTATAAGATTAATTGTTACTTAATAATACTTTAATAAAGTTATAGGTATCACAGAACTTTAAAAGATGTTGGTTTGACATCGCGTATGTCACCAGGTAATCTTATTAACAAAATAATAAAGGTAAATAGAGTTCAACTTGAAAAATCAAAACATGCTGATTTTGATCAACGTCTTAAAATAAACACTAAACTTCCTGAATGTTTAAAATTTTATGCTCATACAATCTCATCATTCATTTTACAACATATGGTTGAACAGTATAATTTAAGTCAAAAGGAAGGATATAGTTTACAAGAGGTAAGTGCTTTTAATATTTTTTTAAGAATTTTAATCTGTTTTTAAGATTGTTCTGATTTATTTAGCAATTCTAGTCATAATAGATGCAACTTGTAATAAAAGTTTAAGTATGATTTTTTTAAATTTATATTAATGAAGATAATTATAAGTAAGATTTATTTTATTTTAATGTGTTATAAAATATGAAATTAAAATATCTTTAGGAAAATAATTGCTTGCAAGTTAGATACAATGATTGTTTGTTTCCCCTTCATAACTGGACTTGCCAATGTGATAATGCTACTGGTTATGGAGTTCCATGCTCTCATGCTTTCTTTGCTATTAGAGAAAAAAATATGAACTTATCTGATCTAGATCTTATTCATAAAAGGCACTAATTATTTTTGATTTGTATTAATAGTAGTAGTATGTTGAAAAATATTTAAAATGAATAAAATATTTTTAGGTGGTTTGTTCCTACCCATCAAATGGTAAATGTAAACCAAGGGGACAATTTATCTAATTCATGCATGACATTTTCAATTCAACCAGTGGCATTATGCAATTCCACTGTTAAGGAAAGATATAATACAGCTTTGAGCCATTTGCAGCCTTTGGCATCTATCTTGTCTGAATTTACACCAAGTAAGTTTGATTTAGCTATTAAATGGCTGGAATCAGTTTGCCAACAATGCATATCTGGAGAGTGGGAACTGCAGGTAAAAATAATAAAATCCATAATTAAATTAATAAATAATAATTCATTTTATTTGACAAGTTAAACTAAAGTTATACTTGCACAAGGCTGGGACCAATATAGTCAAGGAAGCATTTTTTAATTTAATTTTTATTGTATCTCTCTCAACTCTGAAATACAATCTCCAATGCCGTTAAATGAAGATGCAAGTTAAACAACATATTTCTAGGTGGCGTTGAACTGTAAACCACTTAATAGTGAAGCAAGAATCTATTATACTACGTCATTAAATCTCCTGATAAATCATTTACATTTATTTTCTTTATGTGCAATCTATCATGAGTTGTAATCATAATGCTATTTAAATTTTGTACAGGTTCAACAGCACCATTCTGAAGATGATGTCATTTCAGAAAACAATTTTGAGACTAATGTTGAAATATTTCCTGAATGTTCTTCTGCAACATTAGAATGTGTTTTGCCTGTATCACCTCAAGTTTCTCTACAAACAAACTCTGTAGCTACATCAAACATTTACCCAACAATCACATGTGAGACTCTTCATGTTGAAAGATTGCAGACAAATGTTGAAATATTTCCTGAAAGTTCTTTATCTGCAACATTGGAATGTGTTTTGCCTGTCTCACCTCAAATTTCTATACAAACAAACTCTGAAACTACATCAAAAAATTTTCCAACAATCACTTGTGAGACTCTTCCTGTTGAAAAAAGGTATACTACTCGAATTTTAGAAGACATTGACATTGTATTGCGTAAGCCACAGCGCTTTCCCCCTGGTCGACCAGCTGTAAAAAAACAGAGACTTTTTTACAACGTTACAAAACCCCTTGAGAAACTTGGCGTTTATGAAAAAGATTTTATTCGTTTAACTTAGTTCGTCAAAGATTCCATTGCACAGAATTCATTACAAAGTGGTAGTAAAATCTCAATTAATGATCTTTCTTCTACTGTACCTTATATCATTAATGATAAAAGAGCTAACTTACATGAACTTGGACAATATTTTGATGAGTCTGCTTGGGCAGAGATTGTAGTAAGATGTAAGAGCACTTCATCCGATAGTTGGCCATGTTATCATTGTCAACAAATTCAATCAGCCAGTAAACTTCAAAAGTGGATTCAGTGCGATCACTGTTTATATTGGTATCATTACTATTGTGTTGGTATTTCAAGAAAACCTATAGGTCACTGGTTTTGTATGGATTGCAAAACCTAATTGAAAAGATTATAATACTATATATTCATATATGTATATATACATGTGTGTTTGAAAAGATTATAATACTATATATTCATTTATAGTATTATATTCATATATACATGTGTGTTTGAAAAGATTATAATACTATATATTCATATATGTATATATACATGTGTGTTTATATATGTAATAATAGTTTAACATAAAAGCGTGTATATAACATAACTATAAGTAGATACTAATTACAATTTGTTTTTTATTTAATACTTATTAAAATTTTACTTTAACATTTTTTAGACTTTTTAGCGTTTATTGATGTATCCTGTTAATATCGGCACACCAAAAGAGCAACGGTTAAACAGAATTTATGTGTTTTTTTTTAATACAATTCATTTATGCTAGGCAATAACTTTATTAACATTTTATGTACCTATTAGTCATTAGTTACTCTCTGCAGTAGTGCTGGAAGGTATGATAACATAACTGCAAGGTAAACAGCTTTAAACCTTTCATTTATTATATGAAAGACTCTATAAAGCTGTCTTGACTATTAGCTAAGCTCTGTGACATAAGCGCAACTTAAAGGTTCCTTCTAGAAATGTTTTATTTCTATTTTATTATTGGAATGGTTATAATGTATTTAGTATACATTATAAACGCTTATTATTTTAATTATTTCAATATGAGATTGTCAATCATTGTTGTTAGGATATTGAAACTGCTCCAAAATTAATAAAAAATAAACTTAATAGTACCTCATCGTTCGACTTTAAGTAAGAGCTTTTCCAAGCAAGCCTTTATAAGTACCTATTAGGAAAACTCTTCCTTTTATTAAGGAAGTTTTTTTTCTTCTCCATATTAAAAAGCCAGGGATTGTCGACCGTGTTTTATATAGAGATACTTAAATACACATTTATGTTCATTTGCTCTACCTAAGTAGTTAAGCTTTCTCCCAATTTCATGGGGATCCTTCTCTGCATACACATTTTTGCACCACAAATGTGCATTTAAAGAATTTGGTACATTTAAACCTAACAATATTACTACCACGTTCTTTACAATATATTTATTTCTCCGTGAACACACTTGCAATATTTGCTTACCTTTTAAATTGTCGCGATTACTATATACCATCTACCCTTAGAGATGACTAAATAATGTCCTGAATAAATTAAAAAGCGTGAATGAAACTGCTCCAAAATTAATAAAAATAAACTTAATATTACCTCATCAATTGCGATTTACATTGTAACAAGAGATATTTATTTTTAATCTATATTCGACATTTGGCATTTTTTTGTAAACAGCCAAAATACTTTTAAAAAATTCGTAAGTTTTAAAAAAATACAGCCATAATCATATGAAATTTGTTGCAAACTGCCAATACTTATTGTATTAAGTTTTGTTACTTTCCGCATAAAATATCAAAAATTCGTCATGTAAATGATACGCCAAAATCACTTCTTAACTTCTGTGAATTTTCACGGAAAATAGCGAAAACATCTCCATATTAAGTTCCGTGAATTTTCACGGAAAATAGCCAAAATCGCCTCCTAATTTCCGTGAATTTTTACGGAAAATAGCGAAAACTCCATATATTAAGGTCCGTGAATTTTCACGGAAGATAGCCAAAATTGCTTCTTATTTTCCGTGAATTTTCACGGAAAATAACATTAAGCGTTAACAATGGCTTTGAATGTTGGTGATAAGTTTAACTCTTTAAAAGAGTTAGAAGAAGACATTAAGAACTATGAAGTAGAATTTAGCGTTTCTTTATATAAACGAGAGAGTAGATCGATTGCATCTGCAAGAAAAAAAGGCATCAAGCGAACCTTAAACGACGATTTGTTGTTTTATAGCATGCATTATGCATGCTAATATCATTGCTATCATGGAGGGAAAAATTTTAAAAGTCGATCAAAAGGGAAGCGTCCAAATCAAAGGTATATGTTATTTAAAATAAATTTATATTACAAGTAAAATAAATACTATCTTATATAAGTTAAAGCAATCAAATAATAGAATGTAGACAGGCTCAAAAATGAAACTTAAATTTGTTAAAATAAGTTAATTATCCTAATTATTATCATTATTTTTTTGATTTATTTAAATAATTTAAAAATATCATAGCATTTAAAATTTAATATGTAAAAAAGTTTAAATACTTGAAAAATTCTCATCTTTTCGAAATGAATATGTTTATATTATTAATATAAACATATTCATTTTATGTAATGGTTAATGTAATATAAATTATTTTATGTAATATACCTAATGAATTTTTATTAGTAACAACTTCTTTAATTCATTCAGCTCCTCCAAAATTTGAAAGTCTGTGATTCAAAATTTTGCTTTTCCCAAAAAAAAGTTAAAGAAAATATATGAAGTCAATAATAAATCTTAAAGTTTTACAAAGATTAATGTAAGTAATAATTTTTCTTGTAATAACTATCTTAGAAGTTATTTTACCTATCTAGGCCTTTTTTCTTTATAAATTAATTTTTTTAATACTCCGCAATACTCAAAATAGGTACCTAGTCAATTCAGCAAGAAAAAACTTTAAAATGCTGCCTGTGTGTGCGTTATTTATTTCTTTCCCCTTTATTTTTTACATACTTATCTTGACAATATTTTTTTAGGGTTAAGACTGCTCCCCTGATTCCTACAGCAAAAAAAACTTTAAAATGCTGGTGATAATATTTTAAATAGTGCACCTGATCGAAAAGAAGGTGAATGACGTCAACTGTTCGAACATTCGATTCTTGGAAATTAACAAGTGGAAGAAGAAGTTTATAAAATTGTAATTTATAAAACTCAGCACAACTATATTATTAAAAAACTTAAACAATTTATTATTTTTTTCTTATTCTCAAGAAGTTCTGTGAAAACATATATTTGAACCTTACGTTTAAGTAAAGCTATGTAAAAACACGTATTTTAGACGTCGAAATGAGAACGTCTAAATTAGGTTATTTAAAGACTTCATTTGGCGTTTCCATTTAGCACAAGTTCTGAACGTCCTAAATTCACGTATTTTAGACGTCTAAAAACACGTCTTTATTCAGTTTTAAAAAGACGTTCTAAATACGTCTTAAAAAGACGTCCTTTCGACGTTATATGGACGTTTCCGTGCCCGCTGGGAATGGGCAAATTTTGAATATAATATGCAGGGTGCGTTAAATGAGGAACTTCAGACTTCTGGAACGCGCTAAAGTCGTGCTAGTCAATGTATGTTTAAAAAAGTATTATGATATACTTCATGAAGCCGGGTTCGTTGAACCTCCTATTCCTACGTCAAACTGTATTCTTTTAAACGAGCTTTCTTCGTAATAGTAGCAAAAATTAGCAGAAAACCAGATAATAAAAAAGTAAGGTAAGTCACTAAAAAATGTCTAATTAAAAAAATTAAACAAGTCATAACAGTTATATAAGAGACAGGTGGGTAGAAAATTTCTTTTAGTGTAAAGGAAATTTTCTACCCTCCTGTCTCTTATATAACTGTTACGACTGGTTTAATTTTTTCAATTAGACTTAGTGATAAAATATATCAGCAATATAGTATACATGTGCTAACAATACACTAGAATTTTTTATAAACAAATATAAAAAGTACTTTCTCAAACTTTATTGACAATTTGACAGTAGTACGACTGTTTTAAGCTGATACTTTATGTATTCTTTGACAAAAAAAAAAAGAAATTATTTTAACTTCTTAGAAATTTATTTTTATTATAAATAGTTTTCTATAATAAATAAATAAGTCAATAAAAAAAAAATAATACAAATATTATTTTCAGAAGATACTGCTACTCAGTCGATGTAGCAGCACTCCATTGCATGTTCTCGCTAAATCAGTCAATGTATGTACTAAAGTTTCCAACCCCTAACCTAATTTCTACGCTTAATTCCCTTATGTTACCCGTTGTTAATTTCCGCATATCAGCATTCTGTGTTTCCGCATTTTAGCATTTTACACGTGACAGTTACAGTACTATAAAAAAAGAAATGGAAATAAAACTAGTATCAATTGCATGCAAAGATCGTTTGCTACTTATAGGGCATATATAAATACATTAACTAAAAAAAAAATATTTATGTCAATCCACCAAAACGAGTTATCAAATTATTTTTTCTTCGCTTAAGCCTTTGAGCCGATAAGACATGTTTTTGTTTGAGCGTAAGTTTTCAGGAATTTTATTTATTTTTTTTTTTTTCTTGTATTCTTTATCTTTCTTTTTCTACTTATTTTTCTAACTTTTTCTAACCACTACTTCTTTCTCTACTTATTGTTTTATCTTATTAGCTTATATCCAAATTTGGATAATAATATATTAACTATTCGTGTCTATAATACAGTTTTTGTTGTACTTCGCATACCTATATTAAATATAATTGTTATATATACCTATACTTATATTTTAATATATATATATATATCTTTATTTATATATTACTATTATAAAAATAGTTATAACTGAGATTTTATTTATGCTTTAGTTCGCTCATATTTTTTACAGAGTTTTAAAAGTTTTTTTTTTTTTTTTTTCTTCGCTTAAAGTTGCGTTTGCACCTGTTTTTATGTTTTTTAATTTTCTGAACAATAAACTAAATTTTTGCGCTTTGACACAAACTAATATTAGTAAATTATATATCCATATATTATATATAAGACACATATAAAAAAAAATTATATATAAACTTATACAAATAATATAAAGAAATTGAACATATACAAATAAATATAATAACACGGAAAAAAACACATACTGAATCTTTTTAGTCCCGGTGTAATAAGTTAATTGTGATAATTGTAACAAATAAATTTGTAATAATTGTAACAAATAAATAAACATAAAAACATCACTGACATAAAAAAAAAAAAACCCATCTGTGATGACTAATTTAACACCAGCTCAATTAAAGCAAGTCAAGGACGCAATTAAAAAACTTATTCATTCTGAAACTGCGTAATGGTCGGCCAAAATATCTGAACTAGAACAAGTAATAAAGCAACAACAATTAATAATAGATAAGCTAATCCAAAATCCAAATGAGCAAACTAATACCACAACCAGTAATATCGAATCCAGCTGG